TTCCCCAGATCGCCATGAGTTTTCAAAGATAATGGCCAATGGCTCTGCAATCACAGCCGCCAACTCCTTTAGTGCTCTCGGATGCAACGCATCCGGCCCCATGGACTTGTGCACGTCCAGCTTTTCTAAATAGTCCCTAAGCACTTCTTTCTCCACAGAGGGCTGGCCACCTACTCCCCATGCTGTGTTGCCCAGTGCAGCAGTCTGGGAGCTGACCTTGTTTGTGAAGACAGAGGCAAAAAAAGCATTGAGTACATTAGCTTTTTCCACATCCTCTTTCACTAGGTTGCCTCCCTCATGCAGTAAGGGACCCACACTTTCCTTGGCTTTCTTCTTGTTGCCAACATACCTGAAGAAACTCTTCTTGTTACTCTTAACATCTCTTGCTAGCTGCAGCTCCAGGTGCGATTTGGCCCTCCTGATTTCATTCCTACATGCCCGAGCAACATATTTGTACTCTTCCTGGTCATTTGTCCAATCTTCCATTTCTTGTAAGCTTCTTTTTTATGTTTAAGATTCGCAAGGATTTCACTGTTAAGCCAAGCTGGTCGCCTGCCATATTTACTATTCTTTCGACACATTGGGATGGTTTGTCCCTGTAACCTCAATAGGGATTCTTTGAATCTTTGAATTCTTTTGAATTCTTTGAATTTACAGCCAGCTCTCCTGTACTCCTTTCCCCTTCATGTTATTCCCCAGGGGATCCTACCCATCAGTTCCCTGAGGGAGTAGAAGTCTGCTTTCCTGAAGTCCAAGGTCTGTATTCTGCTGCTTACCTTTCTTCCCTGTGTCGGGATCCTAAACTCGACCAACTCATGGTCACTGCCTCCCAGATTCCCATCCACTTTTGCTTCCCCTACTAATTCTTCCCGGTTTGTGAGCAGCAGGTCAAGAAAAGCTCTCCCCCTAGTTGGCTCCTCCAGCACTTGCACTAGGAAATTGTCCCCTACGTTTTCCAAAAACTTCCTGGATTGTCTGTGCACCGCTGTAGTGCTCTCCCAGCAGATATCAGGATGATTAAAGTCGCCCATGAGAACCAGGGCATGCGATCTACTAGCTTCTGCGAGTTACTGGAAGAAAGCCTCATCCATCTCATTCCCCTGGTCCGGTGGTCTATAGCAGACTCCCACCACTACATCACTCTTGTTGCTCACACTTCTAAACTTAATCCAGAGACACTCAGGTTTTTATGCAGTTTCATACCGGAGCTCTGAGCAGTCATACTCAAATAGCTATGTAGACGTTCCTGCTTGGGCTCCGAGACACACCCCCTCACCAGGTTTAAGAGCCTGAGTGGGAACCTCTACATTGCTGTTTTTAGCCCCGAAGCTCGAGTCCAACTCCCCTGTAGAACTAGGTTCTGAGACCTACTGCCACATTTTGTTTTGGGATTTTGGGGCAGTGGGTTTCAGTGTAGACGTAGGTCAGAGGTTTTCAAACTGTGGGGTGCCCCCCCCTAGGGTGGGCATGGAGGCACACTGGGGGGGGCAAGTGGCAACACTAGGCGGCTTGTGCCAGCCCCCATGCGGGGCGGGGAGAGAGTGCCACCTGCACCCTGGACTCACCTCAGCAGGTCGCCCAGCCTGTGGGTCAGTGTAAATGTCTGCTGAGGCTGAGCCGATTTCCATTCCTGGTAGCCTCTGCAGTCAGCACTGGCTCCGCCTCCAGAGATGGTCACATGTGCTGTCCCCCATTCTGAAAACCTGAGCCGGGGGGGGTGGAGGGGGGGCAGAGGGGCAGGTATTGGCCCTGCTCTTGGGTGCATCTTGGCTGCAAGGTAGAAGCAGCCCACTGCTGAGGAAGCCTTGGCTGTGCTGTTGGTAAGTATCTGTGTATTTGTAACTTACAGGTGCAGGTAATTTCATTAAAGGTGTGTTAAGGTCTGTGTTAGGTTTATGAGCAGGCTGTCAAGAATATTTCTGGATGTGTCTATTTTTGCCTGGGTTGTGGGGGGTGGAGGGGGCCACAACCAAATATTGTAACTCAGAGGGTGGCTCAGCTCAAAAAGTTTAAAAGCCGCTGACTTAGGCATACCCAAGAAGCCCCAGGTCTAGCTAGAGGAGAATTCTCCTGGTGCAGGCGCTGAGTAAGACAGCCAAAAGCTGTCTTCCAAAGACCCACTTGCAGGCACTGGTGTATGGGGGTGAGGAGCATTTTGGGGGGGGAGGCAGCTTGTAGCACTGTGGAGTTTCTGGCAGCATCCCGCTCCCCCCATCTGTCTAATTTACCCCGTGGATTTCTGTGGCTGCTGGAGCAGATCAGAATTGAGAGGGTACAAAGGTTACTTAAAGCTCTCTCATCTCACCCCACCGCAACCCTGGGTGGCTCATAGAGGCACAGCGTGGAATCTCACCCGCGTTCTAATAGAGCTGTCCAGGAGGTAGTCGCTGTATGGTTACTCGAAGTGTGACACTAACTCTTTATCAAATCGGACTTCGCTAACACTGTGCCCTCCGGAACCGATGTGGAGCATGTGTGTACACACAGACCCATCTCCCCTCTCCTCTTCCCAGTATACACTCAAACCCTGTCCCTCTGCACACAACAAACCCATGCAAACAGACCACAGAAAACAGATTCCTAACTCCCCATCTTCTCCAAAGGAGCCGGCAGTGATTTATTGGTTCATGTCGGTTAGCAGGTGGCAGTTGGACTCAAGGCTGAGGCCGCTTAGCCTTTGATAAATAGCATATTTACCAGTGCTCCATCTTCCAATGCTATCCACATGTGGCCCAGAAAGCAGCACAAAACTGTAATAACAAACCTCATCCCAGCCTTCTGCAGAGATGGGAAGCAGAGTGTATAATGAATGTTTTCCTGCTAGAAGTAGGTTGGAATTGAAGTCTGCTGCCGGTACCAGTTCCTTGATTGTCATCCCTGGAATTATCTAGAGCGCTTGCTTTATCCCAGCTATCTATAATGAACTGAGCTGGGACAGATAAGCTCAGTAATCAGAAAATTGAGGGAAGCATTCCTCGCTGTGATAATCTTGTCAGCTGGCTAATATACATGAACATTTTTTACAGCATAATGATGCAGGAGGGCTTTTTGCTTCTTTCTCTTTGCTTGAAAGGGTTTTGGCAAATGATGGGAGAATATAAAAATCTAGTGTTCCAAACAAGATTTTGGCTAGAACCTCTTCCCCTGTCTTTCTCCTTTGCTTTAGCCCCTGATGTATCCAAAGGGGTGGGGAATAAGGCCATCCCTGTCCCTAGCTATAATGCTGCCATGTTTTTCATGCCTTTCCTGCAGCAAACAGGTGTGCGAAGATACATTACACTGGAACTTTGTTTCTCGCTGAGCAATGTGACTAGGCATAGCTCTGCAGTTGAATGCATATTCTTTTTGCCCACCTACCCACTGTCCCCTTCTTGTAAAAGCAAGAAACTGATACCAGCTGGCTGCATTTGGACCTGGTACACCAGTGCAGAATTATGATGCTCTACACATCTAATCAGTACAGATGAAGGGTACTGTTTGTTAATGTGTTATCTCCCTGATGTTGAATACTGAGCCCTCTGTGTTCATATGGTTTGCATCTCTAATTAGGGTTGTGTTGCTTATTATTTCCCCTGTAAATGGAAAGCATAGCATCTGGCCATAGATTTATGGGGGGGGGGGGAGTTAGCGATCAGGAGGTACAAGACAGATGCTGAAGGAAGAGCCAAAATGTGAGGAGGGGAATAGGTGTACAAGAACAGACAATGAAGAATGAGTGGGGAGGGTATCCAGGCTGGGAGGAGACTAATAGGGCCGCAGGGTGTCTGAAAGTTACTTACGCTCAGAACTGGTTGTCTCTGCTTAGAATGCCTGAGGTTTTTAGGATAATAGTTTAATAGCAGGTAAAATATACCATTTCTCCCTCCCCCGTGCATGGAGTTTTGGGCACTGGATGAGGGACACAGATTTGCATAGCCAAAGGAGATCGAAGCGATTTCTATGCATTCCTCCCTCTGCTCCCAACCTGACAATTATAGGGCCTGAGTAAGAAATACCATGTGCTCAGATTGAGGCTTGGTTTCCTAGCCTAAAGGGAGCTGAGGCAAACTGTTTTCTTAATTCTTCATCCACTGTTTCTCCCCCACCCCAGCTGGGTAACTTGTATCTGAAAGGGTTGGAAATTCTCCCCTGGCTGATGGGTGCAATGTAGAAGTCTTGAACAGAAATTGGACTGGACAAGGCCGTCTGATCAGCTTATTTCCTGTGGGAGTTACTGGTGCTAAATGAGGTTGCATTGCCAGCATAGAACTTCAGGTGCTAGGGAACTCCTGCTTACATGCAGAGTTCTCTGCCTCGATTTACTCACCAGGCAATGGATGGGGAAATATTCAGAAGAAGAGCAATGGCTCCGCTTGAACAATATCAGTTCTCCCTTCCCTCTCCCTTGGTTGCCCCATACAGCCTTTGAGCAAATGGTGGGAGAGATCATTGCAGGTGTGTCAAGAGAGGGTGTATTAATTGGGGAGCTGGTACTTGGCACATGTAAAACTTGTATTTCACAAAGTACATTGGAATGATTTCTAAACTGAGGGGGAGCTGGCTGTGGCGTATGAAATAGCTGCCTCCCTGCTGTTACTCAACATCATGTTATGAAGTGAAGTTGGTTTCCATTTCCGTTGTGACTAAGCTGAAGAACCACGTGACACTGGACACAGCTGTCTGATGGAAATGAAGACACTTACGGGATCATAGTTTTTGCTGTAGTGGATGGATTATGGGCCATCAGGTTGTTGTAAATGCCTGATACTTCAGAGGAAGGTGAAAAAACCCATAATGCATCTGGCCAATTGTACCTCCATGAGGAATACTAACGATAAATTCCTTACTGCAAACTTATATTAGAAAATCATGTGCACCATGGTCCATACATCAAAATATTGAAGTTCCAGGACTCCTTACTCTCTAAGAGTCCAGGGCATTCAGTCGTGTGATTCAGCAGTGTGCACCCATGTCTTTCATGTCTCTGATGGATGAACTAACCTCCTGTCCTATTCATGCAGATGGAGGTGGAGTTAAAGAGTCTGAAGTCTCAGGCATGCACAGCAGCGCAGAGCACCTTCATAACTACTGAGGAAGTGAACGCACTCAGGTGAGCATGTGCTAGGGGCTGTTCCTTCTATTTGTTACACAGTTGGGGAGAAGGGAAAGACCAAGTTGGTATTATAAAAAGAAACAAATGCTGCATCCTCATCATTTATATTGTGGTAGCACCTAGGAACTCTGGTCAGAGACCAGAACCCCATCTGAACAAATGTAATACCGACAGACCCTGGTCATCAGCAGACGGGATTGAACCTGGGACCTCTGGAGCTTAGTGCATGAGCCTCTATTGCATGAACTAAAAGCCATATGGCTCTTAGCTAAGGCCGTAGAGCAGACTAATTAATCTCTAAGTGGTCTCGGTGCCCCTACATGGGACAGAACACCACACCCAGGTGGTGTGTGGGTTATACAAACACACAACAAAAAGACAGCCCCAGGAAGCTTACAGTATAAGTAACTAAGCTTCAGGGCTGGTCATTACACTGACCTTTTCCTGATAGGATATTTTCATAGTAGAATCCTTCTTTGTCCACCTACCTTCACCTCATGCTCATTTCACCCCCCAAAACCCAGGAAAATTCCAGGAGCCAGGGAAAAGCCCTGTGGCCTCCAGCCTTTCTTACACACTGTCATTTTCAGACCATTTTTCTACCTGGGGTTTCTCCATGCTCTGGTTTTGGAATCTGCTTGAGTCTCTTTTCCTCTGTTAATTCATGTTGCAGTGGCTCCTTCATCACCCCATTTACTTCCCTCTTTGTGGAAAGGCTTTGCTGTTTGTTTTTTATTTTTACTGGATCTGGACTTTAAGTTCAGGACCTGTTGGCATCCACGGAGAAAGGCTTAGAAACAGCCTTTTGTAATACTGATGTGCTTCCCGTGCTGGAGAGAAAAGAAAAATGGTTCTCCTAGTGTGCAATTGCAGATGGTAGAGGGATACATGTTGTGACTCAATGAGAGAGAAGTTACAAAACAGCATTTCAGCAGAGGATACATAAGCACTTACAAAAGCTACAATGAAACTAGACAACCTTTCAGTGTATTTATTAAAGTATTTACAGCTCCTGTTCCAAGGTAGGTGAAACAATAAATACCGAACACAGAAAGTTCATCTGTATCCAGAATGTTTTAATAAAGTTCCTTCTTTTTAAACTGAGCCAATCTGTTCGATCTTGACAACTTGCATTTGTGGTTCTGAGCTGAAGTGAGATTTTGGCTGGATTTCCTTCTCTTAATTCTTTTCTATTTTCAGTTCCATCACTGTAAAAGTATTGCGGCCTCTCAAGAACGAAAGCAGGATTTGCAGGAGGCACAAATTACTGGCCTGCATTTTATGGATTTTCTAAATCCCCCCCTCCCGGCTTGTTTTACAGCTCTGGAAGCGTTGTTCAGTATTAGAATGGAATGGATTTGAAAATGGCCAGTGTTCAGCTAAGCTGTTTTAATACAATAGAGAGCTCTTAAACTGCCCTTTGGGATGTATTTCTCAGGGACAGCTCCCACAAGATGGAGTGGCAGAATTTTGAAGGCCTCCCTCCACCAAATCATCTTTTAATGAGATGGTACTGTCGGTCACACCATGGTTTTGTTCCCCCACTCCCATGAGGGTAAATCAGTTCTTCCTAAATCCTTATTCATGGTGTGAGTGTTGGTTTGAGGCTTGATCTCATTCTGCCTTTCACTTTCTCCAGGGGGCACATAGGACTATCCTGAAGCACGGTGTTTGCAGTGCTACCGGGGTGTTCAAAATCTCTCCAGCAGCAATACAGCTCATCCCTTATTCTGATTAATATTAGCTTCTCTATCAGTAAAACCAGCATCCTGTTTGCTGTCTTCTGGGAGCTGGAGGCTTTCAGGAGATTTCTACAGTAACTCCCCAGTCTCCCCCTCTCTCCTGGTTGGTATGGACTGCAGCACCCTTTCCATTTAGGAGCAAGTCCAGTCTCTATATTTTCACCTCCAAGATTCATTATTCAGTGTTTATCTTCATTAAACAGCATTTGCCATCTATTAGCTGAGCAACTTCCAGGATGGCAGAAAACAAAACAACTGGATTTCCACATATTCCAGGACTTCCTGAGATTGCCGATGTCTGCCTTACAGTGGAAATGGATCTCATTTCTCACTTTGTCCATCTTTTCCCTGATTTGCAAACCTAGATTTCACAAATGGCACTGTCAGATCTCTTGCAATGATTCTATTACTGAGCGCCAGTTATGTGCTAGGTGCTCTGCAAGCAGAGGAAGCCCCTGTCCTGCTCTTAAAGGCGTGGCAGTCTAAATAGAACTTTTTTTAAGTGTGAGTCCTTTGCCTGTCAACCCCATAACTCTGCTTCTTTCATTTAAATTGTGCTTCAGAATTCAAATAGAGTGTCCCAGAAGTGGGCTCCTCCCCAGCAAAACCATTTATATTCTGGAACAGTTCTCCAGTGAGGAGCAATAAATTGAAGGCAGAATTGAAAGTTGTGTCAGGCTAAGAGGCCAAGTTTCTGGGGCTGCCTCTCATAGTAGCACCATCCACCTCCCGCCCCACCACCACCACACACACCACGAACACTTCCAGGACCACACACTTCTGCAGCTAGGGTCATCTGAGACATTTGACCCTTCAGATCTACTATAAGATTATTTTTGGTAGATTCCCAGCGTAGCTAAACCTTCTTTGTTCAGATGGAAGTCTGTCATTGAACCGTTTTTTGTTGCAAGGGTGGTGCTGGTGTATTTAATAAAATACAGAACATGTTCCAAACCCTGGTGTTGGTGATTTGGTGATTAAGCAGGCCTGCGTGGTGTGGCATGCAAGGATGTGAACTTGGATTTATTTCCTTTTCTTGTCACAATTTTATGACTCTCTTTGCAAGGTGGATGGAAACAGTATAAAGTTGTTCATTTGATTTCATCCCTTCTTGCTGCTCAGCATGTGCAAGTTTCGTGGGACATGGGTTTCCAACAGAAAACACACACTGTATGAAGTGTTTTCTTTCAGCTGGAGGCTTCTTCAATCTGGGGCTAGTGAGCAACTTCTCATCCCCTTCTCCACACAAGTAGATGGACTGCTCTGCTGCTGTAGTCTGTTTTCTTCTGAGGAGCAGCCTACTTCAAATATCATTGTCTTCCTTCTGCTTTCTGTCTAGCAGAACATGGAATTCTCTTCTCTGCAGAATTAGGGAGAAAACACTTGGTTTGTGGTTCCAGAGTTACCCAATCTAGGAATGGAATGGTGTTCCACCTCCCCTGCTTCTGGCATCCCCCATGCACTAAGGCTGGGAATCAGTAAAGAGCTCGCTTGCTGTAACACAGGTAAACCCTTGCTGTCACGGAATCATGAGAAATTTTCACAGGGTTCCCCCTTGCATGGGAACTGGAATAGTTTGTTGTGGTTGTCACGTTTCCCAAGATAGCTGCACTTCTGAACAATTGTGATCCTCCTTGTGGCCACCTCACCTAGTCTCAGGCCTCTAATCGTCTTTCTTGAGGTGGGATCTCGCTATCCACTCCCTCCTGACTGGGGTCTTAGGCTGCAGACTCCTGCAAATCACTGAGATTATCTCAGCAGGTCTGACTTTAGTTCAGCACCCATAGTTTTGTTCTCTTAGGGGCAGTGACAGAGTATCTGGTGATCAGCCAGGTGTCACAAAACAAAGGTATCTTACAAACAGTAAACATCTAGCTTATCAGGTGTCACCATCTTCCACATGGAAACCCTGTCTGTTTCCAAAGTACTGCAGGGCCTGCCCCTCTGCATCACAGTCTCATGTCCATTCTTGGATTAAGCATGAGTGGCCCTCTCCAAGGTCAAGATCAGCCCTCTCCAGGATGTTCTTTGTTTACCAGGCCTCTTGAACCAGGTCAGACCTGTACATGCTATTTCCCCTAGGGGGTGAAACTTCCACAGAGTAGATACTGTAGATACAGAGTAGGAATTTGCTCTAATTACCCCCGCCCTCTTGATATTAGTTCCTGCAGAAAACCCTTTGACTCCCCCCCATTTAGCCAGGAATACAACTACAAGTCGCTCCATAAAGATACATATAACATTTGTAAAATCAATATAATAGTCTTTAAATGTTCTGTGTGTCCATAGCTGCTCTCGCAGTGGACCATGGGAGAACCCTTCACATGGCCACCTGCAGGTGGCTCCCTGCAGCAAAAATGAGTTGGGTGGGTGTGATGAGGAAGGAGAGGTTTTGGAGGGTGGGAAGGGGAATCTGGTGGGGAAGGAATCATTGTGCCCTCCCCTCCTTCTCCATTACAGTGTTAAGGCTTTGTCTACTACACTATCAAGTTTTGTTGGCAAAACTTATGTCGACACCCAAAAGTTGACAAAACAAAAATCGCCAAAGGGTGTTCACACTTACTCCCTCTGTTGGCAGACCATGTCCACATTGTGGGCACCGTCATCGACAGTGTGAGCAATGCATTGTGGGTATGTATCCCACAGTGCAGTGTTGTGGGAAGGCGGAGCTGATCGCTGCGCATCTTGGGAGGATTCCCTCCCAGTTCTCCCACAGCCTCCTCAGGTGCCCGGAGCGGCCTCACGAGCAGCTCTGTGAGCTTTCCATGCTGAGGAGTGTCAAAGCAGCGCAGCAATCTCTCCTTCCCCCTTCCCTGCGACAGCCGTCAGCCTGCCGCTGTATTCCTAGTGCAGGGCAGAACAGGAGCATTCCAATTATTTGCTCTTTGTTCCCCAAAGGGAGCAGCACACGCAGCTGTCAGATACTTTCTGCGGCTTTGAAAGGGGAGGGGCACATGCCTGCAGGGCAGTAGAGATCAAAACACTGAAAGTCTCTCCTATGGGGTGGACGTTTTTTGTCGCCGAAACCGGGAGTTTTTCCGACAAAAGTCACATTGCAGTGTGTACGCTTTCACTGCTTTGTCACCAAACGGCAGTTTTTGGCGACAAAACTTGGTAATGTAGACAAAGTCCTAGAGGAGCTGTCCCTGCGTGGTTCCACACCACCAGTTCACACTGCTGCTCCTTGTTTCTGGTATGTCTCTAGTCATTGGAGTCTATTGCCTGCTGCCAGTGGGGATGCAGGAACTAGGAGCA